GGTGGCGGATGTTGAGCGGCGCACGAGCCGCGGGTTTGTGAGGGGCAGCGTCACGATTGAGGGGGCGCCGCCGCCGTTGCCTGCGGGCGGCTGCGGCGGTGGCGCGAGCGGTTGGAAGGATGAGCCGTGCGGCGCACGTGCGCTCAGGATCGATTTTCAGAATGAGAATCTGGTCGCACGCGTTGTCAGTGGAATTGGCGCTGGCAGCAGCGGCGGCGCTGTTTCGGAGGACACAGTAGCGGGAGCGCCAGGAGCATCAGCGGCTGCAGGCCAGGCAGGCGGGGGCAACGGGAAGGGCGAGGTCCTGGCTTGTGTGCCCGACATCATCTGCTGCCTCGACGCGGCTACAGGCGCCGCGGTAGCGACTGAGGAGCTGCGGTATGGCCTGCGGCTGTCGGTGCTCGCGCTGCCCGCGCACCCGCTGCTGAGGGCGCCGCGGGCGCTGGCCGTGATGGGGCCGGGGGCGTTTGGGTACGAGGGGGTGGAGTACACCCCAGTGGGAGAGTTTCTGCAGCCGACACCCGTGCATCTCTTGTAGTTGTTGCGTCAAAAAGTGCAATGAAATCATGCAAATACACACTGCCGCTGTGACCCTTGCTTGGCAGGAGCGTGTTTCGGTTGACTTTGTTTGACCGTTGATCGAACCGTCCACTGTGCTTTGTGCAGGATGCGTTGTCATTGAGAGAAGTTACACTGATCGTCCACGAGCAGGATGAGCATGCAATAGTTGAACAGCGGTCTCTGCGCGACTGAAGGCGGGCAGCAACAATGTGGCTTGCAGTGCAGTGCGCTGTTGCAACTCACGGGTGCACACAAAAAATTCCTTGTACGTGACGCGATGATCAAAGGCATGTAGCTGTAACCCCTGTAAGGCAATGCCAGCAAGTTCTTCTTCCCTGTGCCAAGGAGCGTCAGAGCGACCACAGAACACACCCAGGACGGAGGCTGGGCCACATGAATGGTATGCGCACAGGTGCACAGGCCCAGAATGGGACCGCCTGGCCCCACAGACACCAAGATGGCTGGCTCAACACTTGGTGGCAGGAAAGGAAACAGGATTTGCAGCCTGAGAGTCCCCTCTCCAGCCAGCAGGAGCAAGTATGAGGGGCCGGAAGGGGCCGATTGCGTTGCGTTGGGGGGCGGCCGCCTAGCTCTTGGCCGGCGGCGGCGGCTTGACCTCGTTGCCAAGCGGCTTGCCCAGCATGAACTTTGTTTGAGCGAATGTGATTTGACAAGGGTGGCAGGAGATGGTGACCTCAAAATCTTTGTTGAGATGGGACCCCGAGCACATGTGCAAGTACGCATCAGATTGCATGGAAGATCAATGGGTCTGATAGCAGTCCAGCAGACGCAAGCAACCCCTTGGACAGCGCGCGGCCATCCTCCCTTTCTGGCAGCCCCGCGGTCACCAGCCCGCGCTCCCACCTGGTCAATATTCTGGACCGTAGTGTCAGCGATGTTGACCAGCGCCTCAGCCGTCAGGAACGCGGTGTGGGGCGTCACCAGCACCTGGTGACGGGTGACAGGAGGTGATTACAGGAACACATGGAGATTGTCGCGTTTTGCGCGATTACAAAGGCAGGACAAACCCATGTCTTCTGTCAATCATCAGGCCAGGATCACTACAAACATGCCGCCTGGTCTGGGGCAGTCCAGGCTGGTCGATGTGTGGCCCATGCAGCCCCCGGTCGCGGCAGGGCAGACGCGATCGGCGCCGCCCCTCGCGCGCGCACGCCTGGACGCGTTCTGATGCGAGGCGTGCGCGGCCCTGTGACCTGTGGCAGGGCGATGAGCTCTATGAGGCGCCTGTCCCAGAAGACCATCCTGTCGCGCGGCTGCAGGTCGGTAAGGTCCTGTGTGTGTGGGGGGGGGGGTGGTTGGCCGTGTGATGCCGCAGCGTTGGCAGCGTGGTTTGCAACGAATGATGCTCGCAGCGGCCCTTGATTGTGCAAAACGCGAGGCGGATGTGATCAAAACGGACAGCACGCAGGGCATCGTGGAGGGCGAGGAAGGGCAGGATGCACGTGCACCGCCGCGGGTCGGCTGGGGCGCAGCAGTGCTGCAAATTTGTCGAGGAGCCGACGCGGATGCGTTGTGCACGGCGCGGTGTGCACGGCGCGGTGCTGCGTCCCGCCCCGCGCCGTTATCCACACAATCTCGCACACGTACGCATCACACACACGAATAAACACACACACAAACACACACATACATGTAGACACACATACACACACATACACACACATACACACACGCACACACACACACGCGCGCGCGCACACATAATTGAACACACAGCATGCGATATGAGGCACCATTCACCTGAAAAAAGACGCTTGCTGTTGTGTTGGTCGAGGAAATGTCGGGTGGCGGAAAGAGGGGACGGGGCAGCACCGGGTTAGCAGATGCTCTCAAAACATGGTGCTCGGCCTCGCAGTATTGCTCGTTTCATCAACAAAAAGCGCTTGCGAGGACGAGCAACACACGCGCAGCGCCACGCCGCGGGCGGCGCGCGGGCAAGGCCGCTCACCCTCCTTCTCGTAAACGTCCAGGCCCGCGCCGCCGATGTGGCCGCTGCGCACCCCGTAAATCAGCGCCGCTGCCACAGGGTTTATTGGTGGGGTCGCACGAGATTGTTGGGTCGACGTAAGGATGTCCAACAAGCGCCCAGGCGCATGCATGCTTCTGGGGCTGGGGACGAGGCGAAGGCAGCCTGGTTGCAGCCACCAGCGACAAGAGCAGGTTGTGCCCACCCTCATCCCCCATGGTACACAGAACGCGAGTCGGTGGTCGGCCTGATGCCACCCATGCATGCAGCCGGCGGGAGGGAGCGGCTTACGTGTGTCTATGAGGCCGCCGCGGCTGACATTCAGCAGCACCACCCCTGGCTTCATCATCGCCACCTTAGCCTCCTGAGGAGTGGTTGCGGGACAGCGACACAAGGAGGGCGGGGCGGGTGGACAGGATGGGGGCAGGTGCTGCATTCGGCAAAAACACATGGCGTGTTGTTGAAACACAGGGGCAGGGCGGAGCGAGGTCGTGCCGAACGCATTTGGTGGCGAGACGGGGTGCCGTTGCATGTTGAGACGGGGGCGTGTCTGCATGGCTGCCGCTTCCGTGGTCTCACGTCGATGAAGTGGTACGTGGAGGGCAGCAGCGGCATGTGCAGGCTGATGACGTCAGCCTGCGGCAGGATTTCCTCCCAGGGCAGGTAGGGGATGCCGAGGGCCTCCACCTGGGTTTTGGGTTTGGGGGTTTAGGGAGCAAAAGCAGGATCAAGCACGTCATGATTACGATGGCACAGAGCTGAAGCTTGAATTGTAGGAGGATGCGCACGGGTGCTCTTCAACAGGCGGTTTTGCGGGATGGCACAGGAAAGGGGGCCGCCGCGGCTGGGACGCGCCGGCTTCGACTGGGGCGCGGGGCGGCCCCCGCGAGGGGCCGGCAGGGGCGTGGCGCGATGCGAAATCTGGCACGCCTGGCAGCCCCGCACCCACCGCGGGGTTGGGGCGGATGTCATAGGCGAGCACCTTCATGCCGATGCCCTGCTTCGGGGTGGGTGTGTGGGTGGGGGACGGCGGGATTCGACAGGTCACCGGGGTGGAAGCTACAACATGGTGATTGCCAAGGGGCTGGCTCTTACGAGTGTCGGCACAGGGGGAAGTGAGGGCGCTGAGCTGAGGCGCAACTTGAGAACATGTGCATCAGGGACCAGCGATGCACCCAATGTCAAAGAGTGCTGCGCAGTAGAGCACAGTTCCGGCTAGGTGGCTCCTTAGAGCATGGGACGCCGCTGTGCAGTATAAGTGGGCAAACCTCCCAACCGCAACACCGCAGTCAACCACTGCCACTGCCACGCGAAGACAAACCCCCAAGTGTGCGGAGAGCAGGGGTGATATACGAGAATGCTGATGGCTGACGCGCTCCAGGGCAGCAGGGGCAGCAGGGCCCGCAGGGGCCGCAGGGGCCGCGGCGCTGGCGCGCGCCGACCTTGAAAATGCGCGCCGCCTCCGCGCCGATAGCGCCCGTGCCGAGGATCCCGATTGTCTTGCCGCCCAGTTGGCGGCCTACCAGGCCCGACAGAGAGTAGTTGCCCTGCGATTTGGAGTGAGGGGTGCAGCTTCTTGTTGTGCAGGAACGAGGGTATAACGCAGTGTTCGTTGGAATTCAGAGTCTTCGGAGATTGGCACTTGGCAGCTGTGCTGCTCTGGGCGATGAGTTAGGTTCCTGCTGCAAGAACCCGTGTTGATCATGCGCGGCCGTATGGCCTGGCCCAACAGGCATCGGGGAGCGCATAAATGGCCGGCCGTCCATGCAGGGGCGTCAAGGGGTGCACTGTAGGGTGCCATTTGGGGAGAGAGGGAGGGGAATCCTGGGTGGCCTCCGCCTGCGCGCACCTGGGTCACCCGATTGATGGCGCCCACGATGTGCCTGGGGGTGACAAGGAGGCATCAACCAGTGACGTCAGCTGCGCGAGGGCTGCTGGGGCGCTCTTGCAGCCAGGCGGCGGAGCCGCTCAACGCTGCGCCCCGCCACCAGTGAACGCAAGCAAAGCGCGGCGCGCCTCCCCTCCTGCGCAGCCGAGACTTTGCCATGGCAGCACGATAACAGCCGTGCTTCGATCACCCCCTGTCAAGGGCCGCGAGCGTCACGCGGCCGGCGACGATGCAGCAAACCACCTGGGCGGTGCACGGCACCTGCGTGGCCCGGACGCGGTTACGCGCTGGCGCAGCGCCGCACCTGTCAATCGCAAAAAGCAGCGCGACCGCGTGCTCGGCCACCGAGGTGGGTGAGTAGGTCGGAACACGCACGACCTGCGGGGTGGGGTGATGGGCGCGGTGACGGGCGACGGGACGGCGGGACGGAAAGGTTGGTGGGGTGGTCGGAAGCCAGCAGGGGGGAAGGCTGGCCGGCCTGGATACTGCGAGGGAGCGCCCCACACATCTGCAGGCAGGCGCCCTGCAGGAGGCACAAGCTGCAGGCGCTGCGTCGCCCCCGTGGGCTGTTTTGCTGGGTGGCAAGTGTGGCGCTCCTCACCCCCATACGCATCCCATTTCCTGACCGCCGACAGTGGCGCGGGGGTCGCGCGGCAAGGGCTGGAGCGCGGCACCGCCCACCTTGATTCCGGCCGCGTTGGCCGCGGCCACGTCGACGCGGTCGTAGCCCGCGCAGCGCATCGCTATGAACTTCACGCCCCCCTCCGCCAGCGCGTTGATCACCTGGCGGGACGATGAGCGGTGGAATGGTTGTTTGCGAAAGGGATGAAGCGAGGCGCTACAACTCCCAACTGCACCAGCACTTCTGCTCTGCTCTGCTGAAATGCTTCTCGGCATCATGTGCACCATGCTGACATAGCAAGGGCGTGTCCACCTTGCGAAATTTTCAAGTCTTGCCGCGAGGCAGGACTCAAGGGGGAAGCGATTGAGGGGCGGAGGGAAATACAAGAGGCAGGGGGTGCGCGCCCCCCATAGTAAAACAACAACATCGTGGCGCGCACCTCGGCGTCGCAGAGGTCGTTCACGAAGAGGCAGATGGCGTCATAGCCGCTGGCGATCTTGACCGTGTCAATGCCCAGACGCGCCTGCATAGAGACACGGGCGGTGCATGGGAGGGTGCATCGAGGTGGTGGCGCGGCACGATTTGCTATATAGGGTGGGTGGCGGGATGGGGGACAGCAAGCGCAAAAAGTCGTGCGGATCGCCGATCAGAGGGCTGCCTCTGGACAGCTGTAAGTGGACTACGGACGCATGCCCTGGCTCAGCGGGCGGTGGCTGCCGCTGCCGCTGGGTACACGCGCGGCCGCAAGCCCGGGGCGCGCCCGTGCCCGCGCTCGCCTCGGTGCCTTTGATGTTATCAAAGCCGGCCGCTTGGAGGGGCTCGAGGAAGTACCTGCGGAGATCCGAGGAACCGGAATGAGATGAGGCTCCTTCGCATTTGAGCGGCACCTGTGATGGGCCGGCTGCACGGTGCATGGCCGTTGCAGCCGTGCTCGGCACGCTTTGTGCCGCAGGCCCAGGGGTGGCGGTTGCTGGGTGACGCCGGCCTTCCCCTGCTGCCCAGACACTCACTTGTTCACATACGGCTGGGCCGAGAAGGTCATGATCTTGAATGCGGATCGCTTGGCGGCGAGCTCGGGGTCGCTTGCTGGCTTGGGGGCCTCCACGGGGTCTGCCGGCCGCGGCGCCTCGACCGCGTCGACCTGCGTGGCCACGCGGCACGCGCCGCGCCACGTGGCGCCGCGCAGGGCGGGCGCGCGCGGCGCCGTGGCAGGACCGCGGGCGGCGCCGGCGGCGCGCGGCTGCTGGGCGGGGGCGCGCATGGCCGTAGCTGGCGGGCGCGCTGCAGGGGCGTGCGTGGGGCAGCGCCGGGGCGTGGTTCGGCGCCGGCGTTGGTGGCGGGGCGGCAAAGAAGACGTGGGATCGGGCACGCTAAGGGAGCGCCCACAAAATATATCTTTCTGCGACGTGGATGCGCGGCCCTGATGCCTCTCGGATGCCGTCCACCCAGATCAGGACTCACCAAGTGACGACTGTTTGCGCGTTGGGCACGTATGAGATTTAGTGTGAGAGTTCTGTCGGTCAGAAATTCCAAATCCGTTCGCGCTGGATTTGTGACTGAGTCACCCGGACCGATTATCGCACCTAGCAACTGACGAGACCCTAACGCAGCAGGAGGCCTCATGGGCCTCCCTGAGCCTGCACCCACACCTGGGTGAGTGCAAGTACAATAAATCAAGCTGACCGCGCCAGCACGCACAGGAACCGCACATGCGGCCTGCACAGGCTCGCTGCTGCACGGCATCGCTCCGCCCTGCCCAGCCACGCGTCCGCATCGCCCAACACGCTGCCGATCACCCCTTCACTCAAACTCCCTTGTCAGTGGGCCGGCGGTGGCGGTAGTCCTGTGCCTGCTGCCCCTGCTTTTCCTGGTGAGAGGCTGAGCAGCTGGGCCCCCAGGACCCCGCGGTTGTGGGACCAACCCTGCGACGCATCTATGTTCACACAGCGACACGTGCGCCGCCAGCCAATGCATTAGTACACCGGCAATTGTCAGATTAAACGTCGAGGGGTCCACGCTTTATCCCAACGCACAGCAGCTCCCGCCTCTCGGCACACACACGGGCAGCCGCCCGAGCGGCGGCGCGACCTGTCGCCTTCATGGCAGCAACAGGAGCGCAATCCTCGGGAACAAGCACGCGCGTGCCTCAGACGGCAGGCGCTGCCCCAGCGTTACCCCCCAAGGCCAGCGCCGGCCCTCCCCCTTTCCTGCCCGCACAACCGCAACGGGCGCCCCATCAGGTCGCGGTGACGCTCGTGAGGCGCATCTTGCTTCCGACCTCCGTCTCCCTGCCCGCCGCCGCCGCAATAATGGCGCTCATCCGGCTGGCCTACTTGTCGGCGAGCCCGGCTCTCGTGGCCTCGTGCGTCGTTTCGGGGCTGCTGGAGGCCCTCACGCCACTCTCCATCATCTCTGGGGCCATCGCACTGTTCCAAGCGATGCAGCACACAGGGTGCCTCGCCTGGCTCATGGGTGAGCCTGCCGCGCGCCTGCTGGTGCTGGGAGTAGCGCTGGAACGGGTTTCGGGGGGGGCGGCCAGGGGCAGCGGCTGTTTGGGGAGCTGCGCGGATGTTTGGCGGTGCGGGGGCGGTGTGCATGGCTTGCCGCCCGGGCGCGTGATGGCCGCAAGCTGATCCACTCTTCGCCCCCGCCTGTGCTCACCTACCACATGACCTTCACTAAGATCGCCCCCCTTTCCCAAGCCGCCGCACTCAACTGCCTGACGCACCAACCCCCTAAACCCACAAACCCCGAAGAGACGATCAAGGCACTCAGCGACGGCCACCCTGTGGCGGAGGTGTACCTCATAGGGTTCGCTTTTGCATACTTGGTGGAGGGTGAGCAGACCGACCGGCTGAGGGGTGTCATTCGCCCGGCCTGCAGCCACTCTGTGACAAAGCTTGCATTGCAGCATCGGCGCTGACACCTGAGCCAGCACATGCGCTCCTTGTGCATACTGCTCCCTGGGAGCTGGACCACGTGACCGGTTACGCGACGCGAGGCCACCAAAATCCCCACGCGCACGGCCGGCCGCGCCACGGCGCAGGCGCCTCCGGGTTTGGCACGCCCGTGGCGTTGGCGGCGCCCATGCTGGCCAGCCTCGGCCACGACAGGGTGCTCACCGTCTCGGCCCTGCTCGTGTTCAACACCCTGGCGACCGTGTTTGGCGCCGTGGGGACGCCCGTGTGGTTTGGGTTCTCAGGGGTCGGCCTCTCCGAGGCGAATCTGCTGAAGGTGTGCACGTCGGCGATCGGCGCGACGCGGCCGTGCCGCCTGCGGCGCTCCGCGGTGCCCGACTGCCCTGCACGGCTTGCTTTCCTGTGGCCGCGCCGCGCTGCAAAGCGCGGTCCAGGGATGCCAGCGCGGCGCGCCCGGCCTGCGGCTCGAGGAGGGTATCCCCCTCAGCCGCCCGCCGCCGCTGCGGCAGAGCCGGCCGCCGCGCGCGGCCGCCGATCGCCGTCGGGCTGCTGCGGAGCCCGCCGACGGCAACGCGCAAGAGTTGCGACGTCCTTGCATTGATGCTGGGGCTTGCGGAACGGACAGCACAATTGGCAAGACTCTTGCGTCAATCATGCAAACCGCAGGTCGGCTTCAAGGCGTCGATCCTGATGGCTGTCAATGCCTTCATCATCGGCCCCATCGCCGCCGCCTTCATGGTGCCCTGGCGCGATCTCGCCCGCAGCGGCGTCTTCGTCGCCCTGTCCACCGCGAGCGCTGTCGCGCCGGCCCTGGCAATCTCGCTGTTTTCATACGAGTTTCCCACACTGGCAGGTGGGGGAGGGGGGTCTTTCTTGTTTGCGAATAAATGACCCGGGTCCGACACTTGCGCATGGGGACGGACCCCGGG